GGATGCATTGGTGAGCGACGCCCACTTTATTCATCCATGTTTCCACTGCAGACTCCATGCGCCCAAAGGTGCATGCTCCCATTTGGATTGTTCAATCAAGCACACAAAGTCTGCAAATTGCCGGCCACACATGGGTTGGCCTGGGGGCGAGTATCGGCAGTCCAGAGAAGCCAATGCTTTAGTGAACAGAGAAGTCCCAACCTTAGGCGCTCCACTCATGTAGATGCTGGAGACGCTGTGAAATGGAGGATGGGTGTCAAGAGGCGGATAAATTCAGTGCATTGTTCATTTACAGTGTTACGGTGTTGCTGCAGTTCGGCTGCATTGTTGGTGACAGGCCTAGCAATAAGTAACAGCTCGGATAAGATTCAATGGAAGAGAGTCATTGCGGTTTGTGCTCAGACACACTACAACTCTGACCTGACAGCCGCCTGTCACATATGATGCCAATTTTGCCCTTTTAATTTTTTTGACTTTCCAACCTTGAAGTTGGATGTTCAACCCGAGTTTGACTTGCTTCTGTTCAACATTATGCACTTCTTTGGCTCATATGATAAGATGGTGTGCTCATAGAATTTCATCAGAAGCACATAGGTTGTAAACAGTTATAAGCTAGCAGGCAGAGTGGCCGCTGTAGATTTGAATGCACGCAGCACCAAAACAGTTTCGGTGAAGAACAATACTATTCTCCAATTCCCAGAAGCTCTGCTTGCTAGCAATCTACACTACTTATTGGTCATCAACCATATATCCAGTTCAGTCTATAGAAGGGAAGACACTGTAGATCAAGGCACCCGTGAAGGTTAGGATTGGGATTTTTGCAGTGTGATACCTTCTAACTGCATCTGATTCTCCACCGCCATCATCTCCAACACACACTCCCTAATCACATGAATGTACCTGTTCATAATGACAGGTTACAATGAATAATACAGCCTCTTTCTTTGGACACATTGCCTGACCGGCTCACCACCATGGCATCATCTCATGTGAGCCTGTTGTTAAGATCTCAGAGAAAGCAACCCGCTGATTATCTCTAATTCTATGTAAGGCCAGACATCAATCACCAAATCAGACTTACAATACCCCATCCAACTCAATGCCAGGTGTTGCTTATTGTTGTAGGTGCTGCAAAGCATACAGCCATTACCTTCGGAAAGACCTTTGATGCCTCACGGGCACCCCCAACAACGGATGCTGGTTTATTGAGTAAGGCAAGCACTATCTACATTGCCCATTGACATGCTCGACCATTCAGTTCATATCCAAGGCAGCAGACCAATAGTTCTATTTGTATCTTGATGTATACAACCCAAGGTCTTGCAGAAGTTGCAAGATAGCATGTTTGCGCGCCAGATGCAAGCTCAGTAGTTCTTTCTTTTGCATCCTGGACCTAGTAGAGTGCGTTCACACGCTGATTCAAATGCCGGAAGTCTGAGTTCTGTAAGTGCATACAAGGTCGTCAAATAGCTTGAAGGTCTAGAGACTGAATAAACCAGAAGGTAGTATAGTTCCAGGTTCCCCGGGATGAGCATAGCTCAAAGCTCTGGTATATGTCTGTTTGAGTGGCACAATATTATTTCACGAGAAAACTAGGGTTGCGAGAGAGGAAAGATGTGAGTGTGAAAGAGAAGTCACGGTTGCGACACGAGAGAACTTGCCGAATCCCGAGAGAACTCGGATCGGCCCTGCAAAAACTCTCAAACCCCTGAGAGATGGTTTCGTATGTGTATCGTATGTGTATAGTAGCTACGTTACACCTACTGGAAATTGCCGGAGGTGCCCAAAGTATGAAATATGAATTTCTGGCGCATTTTTGACACGTGGCCATCTGGCCTGGTGCTGCACCACACTATGACTTGTGCCAGGCTGCGCTCTGCACTCTGTACTCTTACCATTTTTGCACAGGGTTAGGATCTCAATATAGAATCAATTGTTCTGTACATTGCCATAGCATATTGTGCAAGAATCAAGCACATACCTGCTCCCTCTAAGCCGTAAGATTTTGAGCCCAAAGCAGGCAAGGTGGTGCGCACGGGTGGTCACATGATCGCGTTTTTGTTTGTTCAAGTCGCATCTTCATTCATGTGGTGACTATGAGTACAGGTAAAATTGAACTCAGCATACTACAGATCGAACTGTGCTATGTACGCTGACATAATATACAGGGCTTGGAACCATCTTTGTGCTTAAGGCAGCCAGATTGAGGAAGGCAGTGAGATTGTGAACTTTTTCCCCTTTCTCCCTATCTTTGGCTCAGCACTCTCCGGATAGCCGTTCCATTCTTGCTGCACCCAATATTCTGGCTTGATGTTAAAGTTATCTGGAAGCCAATCATGCTCTTCAGCATCGCATACTGCTGCCTAGAAGGCCTGCAGCATCTCTGTGTCCTCGCCTAATGGGCAGTTGGAGGACACAGCCTCTACTGGTGCGTATTGAAGGTTTCAGTGCTGGCTGTATGCTATGCAAGAGGCAATCTCCTCAGCATTGGTGGCCTGATCCGATGCAATTTCTGGCTCCAAGTCTTCTTCTGGTACTTTGCTGTCGCTCTCGGGTACAACAGGACCTTCCGCATCCTCGTTGTCTCCACCTTCACCCCTTCACCGTCATTATCTGAGTGCTCTGCACCGGTTTGCTCTGCTGCAGCCCGGGAGTGCCAACACCGACTAACACCATAGAACTCTTGAAGCAACCGTGGATCGACATCTTCATAATCGTCATCATATGTCCCGACCTCAATGTTTGCTACAAAGTGCATTTGCTGAACAAGTTATGGTCAGGATGCTGAATTGGCCGAGATAGTGGCAGGGGTACTGACATTTGGAGACCGGCTTCCTCCATCCTTTTCTATCGGGTGATTGTTCCATGTTTCACGGAATGTTGCGCAGTCATCATTAATCTCTTGAAGGAATAGAGCCTGTAGGAGCCACAAGTGGTAAGCATTCTTGCAGTCGAGGTTGTGAAGTTCACCAAGCCTGGTAAAGAACGCGCGCCAGGCCTGTGCGAACTGCTTTCCAACATCGACCCACATCTGCTCGATTTGCTGATTGCTGTTAGAGCTGTACATGAGAGTGGACTTGAGTACCAGCTAAACATGAAAAGTCCAAAATAGACATACGAGCCTTACAGAAACAATCCACGGTTTGCGCCTCAGGATAGAATCATCCATACAGATACCAGTATGTTCTCTCCACCCCTGTCTCCCCGCACATGCAAGAGTACTCCAAACTTATTAACAGCCTCTAGGAAGCCATCAAGTACTGTAGTAGGGTGGTTATTCAAACTCGCTCGCATGCTAACAGCCTGAGATGAAGCCATTAGAGTGAATCAATGTTGGAAAGCATGATGACTCCGTACCTAACGATTGAAACCATTGACTATATCATGTATGACAATATCCCATAGTATCAGTTTGTAATGCCCATCAATGTGCTACAGATGATTGCAATGTGGGAGAGAATAGACACGCCGCGTAATAGCAGGATGTTACGGACACCCGATTATCTCTTATCCATTATTCTTTTTCTTTTTCTTTTTCTTTTTCTTTTTCTTTTTCTTTTTCTTTTTCTTTTTCTTTTCCGGACTCTCACGTGACTCGGCAATTCCCGTGACTCACGAACAACTCATCCAGTTCCCACCCTTTATTTGCTCCTGTTTATCCCGCCTTACCTATATAAGACTGCGCTCTTACTTGTAACTTACCTTTAACCTCGATCTAGTCAATCCACCGGCTACCTAGCCGCTTATCCTGGTTATCTTGTGCTTGCCTTATTTGTGTTAGTAAGCGGCCGCTTAGCCGTTGCTGACACAGGATTATTACGGAGAACATGCCGAAGCTGGTCAATGCAAAGTAGAGACTGGTATGTTGTTACGGACACTCGATCATCCATTATTTTTTTCCTTTTCTTTTCCCTCTTCCGGACTCTCATGTGACTCGGCAACTCCCGTGACTCACACTCGACTCATCTAGTTCTCGCGCCTTGTTTACGGTTGTTTGCCTCGTCATACCTATATAAGACTCCGCCCCCGCTTGTAACTTACTCTCAACCTTGATCTAGTCAATACACGGGCTACCTAGCCACTTGCCTTGGTCTCCACGCTCGTCCTTGTCTGTGTTAGTAAGCGGCTGCCTAGCCGTTGCTGACATTAGATCAAGGTTTCTTAACTCGCTCTCACGCTCGTCGCCGCCGTAACCACCTTGATCACTGTCATCGTTAGGGTCGTCATTGCCGCCCCTATAGTGTGATACATTCCTCGGGTAGTCCCTGGAAATAATCCACTGTCCCTATCGCTATCATTGCCGTGGAGGTTGCACCAGCGC